AGATGCTCTTTAGACTACGAATAGTCTTCTTCATGTTCGGCACCCATTCAGGTCGGCAGCTCCCCGGTCTGAGACGGGAGCCGGGCTGAGAATCTGTTCCCAGGACGGATTTCCGCCCCTCCAGTCCGTGATCCAGCTCGGCACTTTCTCATCAGACCGGGCTTTTGGCTTGAGTCGGTTGGCAACGTCTCCCCGGCTCATTCCTGGCTAACTCGGATATCAACACCTCCCTTTTTAGATTCCAACTCCACCCCTGTCTCTGATCCTATTTCTGGCTCTCTTGCCCGTGAAATCGATGACTGCTCGGGTTCGGACTCTGTCCACATAATCGATGTTGGACCGTTTTCAAATCAAAATTTCGAGCCGGAGGGTTCTGTTAACTCCAATGCCTCATCCTTCGGTATCGATTGGGATGTGTACAATCAAGCGCTGGTTTCAAGCACACTTTGCGAGGACCCTGAAGTTCCTTGCGCTCTTGCATCTTCTGACCTCGACTTCGTCCCTCGAGGTATTCTTCACTAGGCTTTTCTAGACATCCTTATGTATAGGACAAGCTTTGTTCGTTTACTGATAATGACTTCCTCAGTCGAGTCTGTCATTGTAGCATGTTCCGTAGCAAAGTTAGATGTTCCTAATCTCATTTTCTCATGCTCCAGCAGCCGAAATCGATGGCTTTAGAGAGTAAAGTGGCCTTCCCTCTGATTGGGTCTTGGTTGCTCCTACACCCAAAGACGACTTCCGTCATCCCCCTAAGGGTTGTTTTACTTTTTTTGTGGATCAAATAATGTCGGGCTTGCGCTTCCCGATTCAACCTGAGTTGCTGTCGCTGAGTAACCTTTACGATATACCCATAAATCAGTTCACTCCCAATTCTATTCGAATAATGGTGTCCTTCATAGTTGTTACCCGCATAGTTTTAGGTAATTTTTTGCCCGAATTTTTCTTTTACTACTACGGGTATAGGTTTAGCAAAGACGCCCATTGTCTGGGCCGTCGAGTAGGCGCCACCTTTCTCGACGACCTTTCTTCCAATATCACCGAATGGAAGAAGAAGTATTTCTTCATTCGACCTGCTCCTGGTCAATATCCTTTCTCAAATGAGTGGCTTACCAGCAAAACCGATCAACGCAAGCGTCCCGACTCTTCGCAGTTTGCGGCCATGTTGGAAGAGTTGAATAAACATGTGTGGAGCGCTCGTCAGCTGACTAAAGATAGTTCTTTACTTAACCATGTTGGTATCTGTGTCGACAAGAGTATTCCTCGACTTAATGACCCTTGTAAGCTTCTTTGTTTGTCGGTTTTTGTTTTGATTTATCTATCGATTATTTGGCCTCGCGTGTTTGTGTTCGTTCGTTTTGGTATGCATGTATGGCTCGTGTGCCTGTTTGTATTGATTATATATTTTTTGTCGTCAGTAAAAGCTTTGGCTCGTTTCGAGAAGAAGAAAGCCCAGGAGGCCGACAGGTCAGCCGCCCCCATCCCTCCGAAGAGACCTGAGGGGGGATCGGGTTCGACAGGCGGGGCAGGCGGGTTCAAGGTTGTGCTTCCTTTGGCTTCTAAGCCGAGTCGACAGGCGGGTTCTCATTCTCGCAAGAGGTCTCCGAATCAGAGGGACCGACTTTGGTGCCCGACTCCCCAAAGCGTCAAAAGGAGGAGGAAACGGTAGTCGAGAAGGACGCGGGGCAGTCGTCTCCCGTGGATGTGAATCCTGTAACCCTACAACAGCCTTCTCGACTCTACGACAACCCCGATTCCTTTCAAATTCTCAACTACCTCCAATCGTTCTCCCCGAGGAAGACCGAGTCCGGACCGACGGCAACCCCTACCATCGGGCTCGTTACGCAGCTCGGCTCATCCCTCGAGTAGGTTTATATGTTTTCGCGTTCTTTCAGTCTGAATTCTTTTTCCTTACTTCATCGTCTCATTTTCTTCTTCTTTTCTCTCCTTTTTTTATGTTTAGCTTCTCGTCTGCATTCTCCCAACTATGCTCGAGGAGGCGACTTCCCCCGAAACTAACGTCAAGGTTTTGGGAGAAAAGTACGCGGCCAAGTGCGAGGAGCTCGTGGCCAAGGAAGAAGAGCTCGAGGCTGCCAATGCTATCATCGCCAAGCTCCACTCTGATAAGGAGGCAGCCGTTCGAAAGGCTGGGCGGCTGAGAGTCGACCTGATCAAGGCCAATGACGAGGTCTTGGTTGAGAGGGAAAATAGAGTTCAAGAAGGTCGACGGACCTTCTTGAAGTCCACACCAGGGGCAGTTTTTCTCGACCATTACCGCAAGGCTGTGGTCGAGGCGTTCTGTACTTCCTCCGACTTTCTCGACAAGCTTGTTCCCGCGGCGGTCCAATATTTTGATTACGCTTGCGATACGTGGGAGCAAGCCATGACTAAGCCCGACTTCTCGGGGAAGATCGATCGGGAGGCCGTGAAGCTAACTCTCCCCGACCCTGCCGGCTACAAGGAGGCAGTTCTCCCTCCTGGCCATGCATGGTGGAGTGGCCTTGCG